GGGGAAGAAGGGGCCAGGGTGGGGCTCTGCTCCTGGCAGCTGCGCACTCGACAGCAGCTGCATCTAGCCAGGCCCTGGTGGGTGGGAGTCCAGGTCAGGAGGCCACGTCACCTCCCTCCCCATTGCCTTGGCTCCTGAGCCTGCTGGCCCAGGGTGGGGGTGCTGGGGAGAGAGGCTGACGTGCCCCCGGAATGGGTTGTGCTGCCCACCTGGTTATGAAGGTCCATGTGTGCTCAGCATACTGTGCAGGCCTTCTGTCACTGGCCTGTCTGTGTCCCCTCCCAGTCAGCAGGTCACAGCCATGGGTGCAGGTGGGGAAGGTGGAGGCAGTGGACACAGTTACCTTCTGCGTGTTAAGGACCTCCTCACAAAACTTACCTGGACTGTCAGGACCTGCTCCAGTGCCATCCGTACATGTCACTTTCAGTGACGATGCCCAGCCTGACTGCACCCCGCTCACAAAGGGACATTTGTCCCTTCTCCCCTGTTGATTAATTTATTCAGTTGTTTATCAGCATGTGTGCATGTGTATTTACTTTATGCTTTGGGTTATAATGCACTGCCATTTATTTGTTTTCTTGCTCAAATGGTTCCCGCCTTGGCACCGAGAGCTCTGTTGGTGGCTTGCATGTCCCTGTGGTGTGCATCACGGCTCTTCGTTTGTCTTGTTGAGAGCCTGTTTCCTTTCCAGAATTACGCACGTTCCGGGCTCATCCAGTACATGTCAGTCCCCATGCCACAATCGGCCATCTCCCAGAAGCTCTGGGCCCTCCTTTTTTTAGAAAGTGGTCTTAGAGACCAAGGTCTGGGCAGTAGGTGTGCTCGCTGCTGCTGGCGTGTTGTTTCTGTGCCCTCCCAGCAGAAAAAGCAAAGAAGTAAGTCTGTGTGTGCAAACCGTGCATGCACACATATCTAAACATTTCCCTGGTAACTGTGTATCTGAGTTCTTCCTGTGTCTAGCTCTGATCATCACCACACAGATCAGCCTTGCACGCCCCCCACCCCTGCTCACCTGTAGCCTCCCAGTCTGACAGTGACAAACCTGGCTCCCATTGGCCGCCAGTCCCTTCCTGAGTTGTTCGGTTCCGGTACACAAACCAGAATAACAGTTGCTGGCCCACGGCCCCATGGGAAACACTTCCATCCAGAGAGCACAGAGTGTGGGTGCCTTTCTTCTCACAGACTCTACTTATTCCCAGGTGAAGAGGTCGGCACCTTCCCACAGCCCCTTCAGTGACGTGGCATGGTTCACACATTTGTAATACAGTGACATTCTATTGTCACAGTGGGCATTCCCTCCTGGAATTCCCCTGACATCCTAAATAATTTGTTTTTAATTTGCATTCATAAAGGCTTACTCTTTGTATTGTCAAGTTCTGTGGATGTGGACAACTACATAATATCATGGATTGATTATTCCAGTATCATAGAGAGTAGTTCCTCACCCTAAAACCCTCTCCTGCTCCAGCTGACCACCCCACCCACGNGGGTGGGGCCAGGACACGGGACTGGGGCTGCGGAGCGCTGGGAGACACGGGGGTGTAGGGATGGAGGCGGTGGGAGGCGCAAGCTTTGGGTGGGGGGATGTGGGGACACGTGGAACAGGGTGATGGAGGAATACTGGGGGAGGGGGTATGTGGGGAGAAGGCGGAAGGATGGGAGCAGCCTGGTCTTGGAGTTGGAACAAGTCTCTTGAAAGCAATGCAACCAGAAGGAATGGGTCTCAAAGTGGAGGAAAGAGGAAGGTGGAGGCAGAGATACATGTGGGTAGGTGGTGATGAGGGGCGAGGGGGCTGGGAGAGGTGTGGTGGGAGGCCAGGTGGAGGAGGGTCTCGAAAGCACATGGCTTCACCTTGAGAAGGATGCGGAGCCACCAAAGGATCTTAGCTTGGGGCGCCAGGGTCTCACCTGGCTGCCAGGTGGACCTAGCAGCAGGTGGTTCACTGAGGGCAGCGTGAGGATGGGGAGTAGTCACACAGGAGCAAGGGGCAGGAGGCGCTGTTGCAGCTGGGGGTGGGTGGGAAGTGGGGCCTGACCATGCCTTTTACCCCATGTGGTCCCCGCTGCCCACTGCAGCCTGCCTGCCCTCTCCACCCCTTCCTTCATGTGTGTGTTCTGTGTGTTAACAAGCCGCGCCAACATTAGTGCTGCAGAACAACAACGGTTTTTGGCGGTCTGTGGGTCAGCATCTTGGGACCCAACAGGACGGCTTTTCTCTGCGGCATGATGTCATGGGCATGGGATGGGGAGACGTGGATGGCTGGGGGTGACTCTTGTGGCTGGGCGGGGTCACCTGGAAAGCTATGCCTTGGTGGGGATGACTGGGCTCAGCCGGCATGGCCAACCAGAGCAGCGGGACGTGGGCACTCCAGGGCGGTGGCCTCTGTGAGTCACTGCACACCATTCTGTCACCTGCTGTCACAAGCCAGCCATCTTTGAGGAGGGGACACTGATTCCACCTCATCCTGGGATTG